GCATTTACTGTATTTGCCAATATCGCTTTAATATCTCGATTCCATACCTCGACTTGACCACTTGTTTGCGGATGATACGGTGTTGCCCCCTGGTTCTTTTTAACCCCATATTTAGCCAAAAGTGCACACACTTTATTACAGAAATGTGAGCCTCCATTGTTGATAATCGCTCTAGGTGTGCCAAACCTTGAGAATGTGTTCTTTTTCATAAAACCAACAACACTTTTACCATCATTTTTAGGAAGACCGATGCCTCAACCCCTTTGGACACATAATCCACTGCCACCGGTATATACTTTTGCCCATAGGAGCTTACAAATGGTCCCATAAAGTCAACTCCCCACACATTAAACAATTCCACCTCCAAAATAGGTGTCATTGGCAGTTCATGCCGACGAGAGATGGATCCTTGCCTTTGACAAACATCACACCCCTTGACTAAGTCGATGGAGTCTTGATGGATTGTAGGCCATTAGTACCCACTCTAGAGTACTTTGTGCACAGTCTGTGCACCCCTATGATGAACACCTACCGGAGAGGAGTGACAAACTTCTAAGATATTCAACATCTCAATCTCCGGGATACATTGCCTGATGATGTTTTCAGCACACACCCTGTATAAATATGGTTTATCCCAGAAACACTTACTCACATCATGTAGGAATTTTTTCCTTTATTATAATGTCAACCTTTCAGGCATCAACTCGCTGAAAAGAAAATTAGCAAAGTCAGCAAACCAAGGAATGAGATCCAGAGTGGCTGCTAATACCTGCTCATCTGGGAATGAGTCATTTATGTCTAACTCAAGTTCTTCTTTCTTTTCTGCCTTCAACCTAGACAGGTCATCAACCACCTAATTTTCACAACCTCTTCTATCTTTTACTTTAAAATCAATTTTTTGAAGTAGCAACACCCATCTTATCAATCTCGGCTTAGCATCTTTCTTCGCAATTAAATATCGTAGTGCTGCATGATTAGTGTGAACTATCACTCTGGTGCCCAGCAGGTATGCCCTGAACTTCTCAAGTGCATACACCACAACAAGCAGCTCTTGCTCAGTAACAATGTAGTTTCGTTGTTCCCCATTTAGAGATTTGCTGGCATAGTAATTCGGGTGGAAAATCTTGTTGCGCTTCTACCCCAACATTACTCCCAAAGGCAGTAACACTTGCATCACACATCACCTCAAATGGTTCCGACCAATCTGAGCCAATGACCAATGGGGCAGAGACCATCTTTTCTTTCAGGAACTCAAAGGCTTTAAAACATGCTTCATCAGAGGAAAATTTCACCTCTTTCTCTAACAACTTGAACAAGGGGTGTGTAATTTTTGAGAAATCCTTGATGAATCGCCTATAAAATCTTGCATGACCCAAAAAATTCTAAATACCTTTTACACAAATAGGCTGAGGCAACTTTTCAATTACCTCAATCTTTGCTTGGTCTACCTCCAACCCCTTCTGTGACACCTTGTGGCCTAAGACTATGCCTTCCTTTACCATGAAATGACACTTCTCCCAGTTAAGCACCAAATTAGCCTCCTCGCATCTCTGTAGTGCCCTACTAAGATTTAACAAACAATCATCAAATGTGTTACCTACCACAGAGAAATCATCCGTGAACACTTCCAAAGTGTCCTCTACCATGTCCGAGAAGATGGACATCATACACCTCTGAAAAGTTTCTGGTGCATTAAATTATCCAAATGGCATGCATTTAAACGCAAAGGTACCATAAGGACATGTAAAGGTGTTCTTCTCCTAATCTTTTGGAGCAATTGATATTTGGTTATACCCAGAGTATCCATCTAAGAAGCAAATACCACCATTTACCAGCCAACCTGTCAAGCATCGGATCCATGAACGCCATTTGAAAGTGATCCTTCAAGGTCTACTTGTTCAATTTCCTGTAATCCATGCATACACGCCAACCTATGACTGGTCTTTGCGGAATCAACTCATTCTTTGTGTTGGAAACCACTGTCATACCACCTTTCTTGGGAACACACTGCACTGGGCTAACCCAATGACTATCAGAAATGGGGTACACTACCCATCATCCAACCACTTTATGATTTCCTTTTTAACCACCTCTTGCATCGGCAGATTCAACCTCCTCTGGTGCTCTATTCTTAGGTGACAATCCTCCTCGAGTTGGATTTTATGAGTACAAATACCCGGAGGTATCCCAATGATGTCAGCAATAGTCCAACCAATAGCCCTTTTGTACCTCACCAAGACTTTGACTACCGCTTGCACCTGTTCATCATTCACATCTGCAGCCAATATGAAAGGAAATGTATTATTAGTACCCAAAAATACATACCTTAGGTGGTTGGGTAATTTCTTCAGTTCAAGTACAGACAACTCCTCAATAAATGGCTTTGCTGGAGGATTTGGACTGTTTTCAAGGTCCAATTTCTTTGGAGCATAAGAATGTGACCCCATGCCCTACAGAGGATTTAGAGTCTCCACATAATCATTCCTGAGGTCTACTTCAAAATTCATTAGTACGACTTCCAATGTTTCAACCGCAAACCTTTCCTCAATAACAACTTCCAACTCTTTTTCATCAATGACTTCTATCGCAGACACCACATTCATGTCTTGTAGTTGTTTCATAGACCTGCATATTTTAAACTTTACCTCCTCATTGTTGAGCCTGAACGTCAGTTCTCCGCTCTCAACATCGACCAAAGCTCGACCTGTGGCAAAAAATAGCCTTCCCAAAATTATGGAAACCTCAAATCTACTTTGCAGTCCAGAATCACGAAGTCTGTCGAAAAAATGAAGCTGTCCACTTTTACAAGCACATCACATAAAATACGCATAGGTTGTTTCACTAACCTATCTGCCATCATTAACCTCATTGCGGTGGGTTTTGGAACACCTAAGCCCAACTGCTTGTAGATGGCTAGCGGCATCAGATTTATACTTGCCCCTAAATCACCCAGGGCCTTTGCAAACTCAAATGATCCAATGGTGCATGGTATAGTGAATGCACCTAGATCCTCTTTTTTCTGCACCAGAGACCATGTAGCAATAAACTACAATGATGAATATTGCCAGTTAGTTCAAAGCTTCCAGCTCTTTTCTTTGTGACTAAGTCCTTCATGAACTTAGCATATCCTGACATCTGTTCCAGAGATTCTACCAGCGGGATGTTCACTGATAGCTATCTCAACATGGTTATGAATTTTGTGAACTTCCCATATTCAGCTTTCTTCTTGAGTCTTTGAGGGAATGGAGGAGGCGGTCTCATTATCTATTGTAAAGACAAAATTGCCTCGACTTCTGCTTCTGTTACTTGAGCCGACTTCAAGTTGGTTGGGCCCCTTTTGTATCATCAAAATGTTCAGCTTCAACCTCTTCTTCCTCATCCTTTCTATACTCTGTTCCTGCTCAATACTTGTAGGTTCTGATTCATTAAGGATCTTATTGCTTCTGGTAGTAATGGCCATGCAGTGCCCATCATTTTTGGGGTTGGGAATAGTGTCACTTGGTAGTGACCCATTCTTCCTTGAGTTTGGAGATGCTGATAGTTGCCCCAGCTGTTGCTTCAACCAGCTGTTGCTTCAACTGCTTGATAGAAGTGGTGTGAGAGTCCACTAGCTGACTCATATAGGAGAAATCATTCTTTATTTCTTTCACACCTGCATTAGTAGACTTAACTTTTTGCAACACCTTAGCTAACATATCCTCTATTTTAGATCCACTGGAATTACCTCATATTCGATCTCTATTACCTGGGGGAACATATACGCTTCTTGTACCCATCTCTATTCTGCGTGTTACCTTGTTCTCTTTTTCCTGATCTTTCATATTGACCATCTCTTGGGTAGCTCCGACCTTGATTTCCAGAATTATATCCTTGGTTTCCCGAGTTAAAATTCCAGAAACTCCCTAGTTACCTAAGCATTTAGCTTTCTCATTTAAGTCGATGTCTGGATTGTCATACCTTTGAGATGCACTGACAACATTCACCTTTTCTAGACCTGACATGATGTGCTTTGTGAGTAGATCCATTTGAGTCTTCATATGAGCCATGTATTGGTCCCTTTCTTCCTCTCACTTCTTTTGTTCAGTTGAATGCTCGAATGTGAAGCCCAGATCTCCGACTTCAGCATCTCTGGTGTGCCATGCTCTATTGTTCTTCGAGATTTCATCCATGATTTACATAATTTCTAGGAATGGTTTTCTCATGAATGAACCTCCACACACTGCATCAACAACAAGCTTAGTAACATAATTTAATGATCTATAAAATGACTATTTAAATGTCTTTCCATAAGACCATGGTTTGGGCACTTCTTCAGCTTTGGCTGAATCTCCACCAAGTATCATGCATTGCTTCCCCTAGTTGTTGCTTGTGTGTACTTATCTCGTCCTTCATCTGCAACTCTTGTGACTCAGGATAGAACCGTTGCAGGAAGGCTTCCTTCAATTTGGTCCAAGTCTTGATTGAATCATTTGAGAGTTCATTTAACAAGTTTGTCGCCTCTCCGGTAAGAGACAAAGGGAACAATCTCAGTCTCATAGCAGTTTGACTAATCATAGGGATCTCATGTGATTTGCATATTTCGAAGAAGTTCATTACATGATGATGAGCATCATCACCATCTGCACCTTTGAACATTCCCTTCAAATTCAGCAGCTGAATCATCATGCTGGTGATTGTAAATTTCACATCTAGAGGTAATGCAAGTTGCACTATTACTCCAGTGGCGCCAACTCCATCCAAGTCTAAGTCATCCTCATCGAACACCATATGAGTTGGTTCCTATGCTTGACACCTTGGAGCTATTGGTTGTTAGTGGGATGAGCTATCTCTTCCGCTGCTTCATGTTCCCCCACGACCCTAGGTGGTTCATTCGCAGCATTTCGCTGAGCACCTCTAGCTGCTGTCTCAGCCTCAAATCCAAGTCTCTGCCTCTGTCTTGATTTCCTATGCATTCACCATCTTGCAGATAGTTTTTCTCAATTTCGGGTCGTAAGGAATCAATGGAGCTCCCTTACTTCTGGTATTTGGCATGCACTGTTGAACTTACCTATCAAAGTCACAGACAAAGAACAAGACATAAAATTAGGAAATATAACTACATTTCAAATAAATGCTAGTAAAATATTTCTGAATTGACATAATAGGCCTTAAATGAGTTTGTATTATCTCTTTCGGGTTGTGATCTGCATCAGTAGCCTATGTTGTCTTGGGAAGGCACTGCCTTCAAGATGGATTAGCTTTGAAAGTGATTCTTTGTTTCTTTTAGATGTCTCTTGTCTTTAAATTGTTGAAATTTATAAAGAGTTGTCTTCCAGTAGTCCATTTATGCCTAAGGGAAAAAATTTAGTAAATTGGCACCGTCAACCAATATGCAGCAGAAGGGGTCTATGTTGTTGCTGCTACTAATGAGGTTCATTTGAGCAGCTCTTGCATGTCAAAAAGTGATGGGAATGGAGACAAGTTAAGCATTGTTGCTTCAGCCATGGCTCCAAGTTCAAGTTTACAGCCAATATGTTTGGAACCAAATTGCATATCAGGAAAGAAAGCTATATTGTATATTGTTCTATGCATCACTTTGTTGTTTTGCATTGGGTGGTGGTGCGGTTAAGGGAGCATTGCCAACATTGGGTGCTGATCAATTTGATCAGAAGGATCCAAAGGAGGCTAAAGCTCTTCGAAGATATTTTAATTTGCTCATGTTTAATTCAGTGATTGGTGGAGCATTTGGGATGACATTTGTTGTCTATGTTAGTACAGTTAAAAATTGGTGGAAAGGTTTTCTCATAAGTTTGGTTTCTGTCACACTTGGTTTTATTTTCTTTGCCTTTGGAAAGCCTTTTTTTCGACTTCAACAACCTGCTGGCAGTCCACTTACTAGAATTTTCCAGGTTAATTAATTTATTCTCCTCTTTTTTTTTTTTGTGTTTATGCCATATCAAATAAAATAACCACCACGACTATTGTGGCATATGATCTAAATCACTTCACTCTTAATCAGAAATCGAATTTCAAGCCTATATGCTATATATAGAGAATAAGGAGTGATGGAAAATAAAAATAAAAATATAATGATTTTTTGAATTTTCCAGGTTATCGTTGTGGCAACAAATAATGGAAAGCAGCAATTACTAGAAAACAGTGAGGAGCTGTATGAGATTAGTGAGAAAGAATGTGACTCATCACAGCCAAAACTTGCACATACTAAACAATTCAGGTGATGTTATTCTTGCATATGTGTATTGATTCAATTATTTGTCATAAATAAAAGCACACTTGGTTTAAACTTTAATGAAATAAAAGCAAGAGGGAAGCTGAAAAAGGGAACCCACAATGTCAGTATAAATAATTTACATAATCAAGTCATCCAAAAAATATTTACAGGTTGTTAGGCAAGGTTGCTGCGTGCTATATAGCTATTGGACATATAGTAACTTTTCCTATATTGTGAATCAGGTGTTTAGACAAAGCTGCAATCCATCCTAAAACAGGTGAGCCTACACCATGGACAGTTTGCACTGTGACACAAGTTGAAGAAGTTAAAGTATTAACAAGAATGTTACCTATCATAGCTAGTACCATTATAATGAACACATGTATGGCCCAACTCCAAACATTTTATGTAGCACAAGGCTATCGAATGAACCGATTCATTAAAAAATTGAGGTACCAGCACCCTTTTGAGTAGTGTACTTGTTGACATTATCAATTCAGTGACTAAAAGAAGAGCACCAAGCAAAAAAAGGATGGTAGGTCGGTAATAAGAGAGTTTCTTTGGACATTTAAGGATATGTCGATAGTTTTCCTTTCCCTCTTCCTTCTTTCTCTGTGATCTTTTATCTTTCTCTTTGTTATCCTGAAAAACTCTTACTTTCCTGTAGGTTCCATGGGAAAAAAGTAGATTCTTTTTTCTGCTCAATTTTGGAGACGGACGGTTCAGTCCAATTCCTCATAGATTTAGTCCTACGAACAAAAAGGTACGCTCCTCTCTCTGCCTCCTTTGTTTGGTTTGTTGCTTGTTTCCCATTCATTGATTTTTTGGGTTTTCCTTCCAATCAGAAATTTTTCTTCTCGAATCTACCACAAAACCCTTACTGGAGGTGTATCTTTTCGCCTTCATTTGCTTGGTTTATGTGTTTTTAATGTTCTATTTGCTAATTTGAATTGTTACCTTCAGCTTAAACTTAATGTTAATTTGGTTGGTTTGTTGAATCTAGAAATATCTCTTGCACTTTGATTTTGCTTTGGTTTACTCGCTTTGCTTCTTCATTTAAGTATTCCCAATTTGTAATCCTTATAGTATGCTAGAATTAGTTGTTTTGCTATGTGCCTTTTCTGCACATGTTTCAACATCCACGGAAAGGGCTATGTGCTGTGGATCTAAAATTTTGTCGACTGCTATTCTAGAATGTTACTTTTATACTATGTGAAAAATGTCACTGATAATGTGTGTCCAGCAGATGGGTCAGTTGGAATATTTTAGAGTAATTAAGTTATTTTTATAACTTGGTGCTTGAAGTGTTAAATGATTTTGTAAAAAATGGTGTTTTAATTCAATATTTGCGATTAGGTGTTCATACATTGCAACTTTTCCGATTGGAAGAAATATTTATAGTTAGTCAAATTCTGCCTAAGTTTCATCACAAGTTCATGTAATAACAAAGTGACAACAGTAAAAGAAGAATATTAATTTATCCCGTGGTGTTGGCTGAGAAGATGATGTCTTGCGTCATGTAAATGGCAATGGAAAAGTATTGATTTGAGTAGTAAGAAGTAACAAATCGAACATGGGGGGATCTTACCCATGTTACACTCACCCTCTACTGTCTTTGGTAAAATTATAGGGTTATATTAGTTTAAAGTAGTGTTTTTCTTAATGTTTTGGTATGCAATGCTTGCTTTGAAATTTTTATGGATGCTGGTGGGTAAGTTATTGGCACCTTACTATAGAAAACCTTTTTGGCCTTCAATTAGAGTTTGATAGATGACTACCATATTTTGTTTTGCGAGTTTCACAATGAACTGTCTTTGTTTGGATTTTACTTCTTTATGATTAATTTTCTTCTTTCATCTTCAAATATTGATATATTAGGCATGCATTGGCTGTCCTATCATTACGTACTTCTTGTGCTAGAAGATGTAACATTTTTCACATTTCTAGTTTGCCTCCTGAAATGTGAAAAATTGTTGGTAGATACTTGAACATAACAGGCTGTGTTATCCCTATAGTTGGTAACGAACAACATTTCTTGAGCCCATATGCAATATTGTGAGGTGCTGATAAAGTTGCATTATTACGTACATGTGATCATATGAATAAATCTGAACGATTAGTTGAATAGAAGGAAAACTTTTCTAAGAGAAGCGAAGAAAACACCTCTCTAAGCGAAAAACATTTTATTCGAAGAGAACATCTTATATGTATAAGTCTATAGTCCAGGATGTACATAATAGTAACATCTTCTAGATAATTTTTATGATTTTTTTATGGGAGAAGAGTGGAATAGCACTTTAGCTTTCAAATTTGACTTAGACTTTGAATTGGGGAGTTAATCTCCTAAGTCAGCTTCTTAAGGCATTCTTTGATGTATATTGCATCTTTATATTTTCTTTATATTCTATCAAGTTAAACGACATAACAAACAACAATGTTAGGCACATGCCCGTGCCATGCACGCACACCACATCTATCAATTTTAGATTTGTTAGTTTTGGAGAGCTTTAGTGTTGTGACTCAACTTTAGATTTGTATTAAGGAGAGCTTCAGTTTATGGTTGCTATGTTATGACTTTATTGTTATGGATTGGTTTGGCTTACTGTGAATTTGAGCATATTAAATACATCTGATTTATTTCACTAACTTATAATTTTATTTTGAATATGCAGGAAAATGCCGGTAATTGAATTTGAATAGTGGCATGAAGTAAACTCGATCTATTGTAGTGAACGATGAAGAGTTTTTGTTATGTTTGAATTCATTTGGTTTTGTGGAATTTATTGATAGTAGAGACATGTTTGTCGAAGTTTGGTTGTACAAGACATATTTGTCTAAATATTGGTTGTACAAGACATGTTTCTCGAAGTTTATTTGAAATATATAGCTTCGATTTATTTATTAGCTAATTTTGTGCTTTAGATCGCTTATATATTTAATTATTATATGCGATTATTGAATATATGCAATTAAAAATTATTATTCTTAAAAATGAAAAATTGTGGCTACAAAAATTCTACACAACATGGCCACACTTCAAAAGTGTTGCTATAGGGATGTCCAATGTGTGGCGTATTGTACATAAGAAAAGTTACACTTTATAAGTGTTGTTCTAGATGAGATATAAGAGGCAACATTTTTTAAGTGTGCCCAATAACAAAGCAAAGGCCACGCTTTTAAGTGTAGTATAATCAAACAAAAGGTGTTGCTAATGAATTACTAAAAAGCGTGCCCTTATGCCTCTTTGACCATGATTTTTAAGTGTAGCTACTACAGCGACATTTAAAAAGCGTGGCCTAATGTCAAAGGTTACACTTCTCTTTGGCCACCCCTTGAAAAGCGTTGCTTAAAGTCCAAAAGTGTAGCATTTTATCAAAGGCCACACTTTTTGCTAGTTTAGGCTACACTTTACTAGGGTGGCTAAAAGCCTAAAATGTTGTAGTGTAATTAATTCAAATAGTCTGACTAAAAAGAGTCCTACTCGAAGTAGGACTGACTTGTCGGGGCTGCTTCACAGACGGCATGACGGTCCGTCATGAGCTTCACGGTCCATGAAGCCTTCCGTGGTCTCACACTTAGACAATGTGAGACCTCTTTTCTTGAACTCCTTCACGATCAACATCACAGGTTGTTATGAGGACCACAACCCGTCTGGGTGTCCGTGGTCCTTACTTAGCCATACCAAGCTTAGCTCCTCAAGGTGTGTACATTGGAAATCCTTCACGAACTTCAAGACGGACCGTGAAAGAGATCAAGGTCCGTCATAGTCTCCATGATCCTGACTTGATCAAACTCAGCTTGCCTTACTGACACTGCTTCATCTCCACGAGCCTCCAGAAAACTCGTCATCATGACCACGGCCCGTCTAGGGCTCTATGGTGTATATTCCAGGATCTTTTCCTTTTTCTTTTTATTTTCCACGCAAGTGTAAACCTATATACACATTTAACAAACCCATCAAATCTTACATAAATGCACTCTATTCTAGTATTAATCCTTAGTTTTGAGCATCAAATGTGCCAAGATTTCACGGCACATCAGTTATTGTTTATCGGCAAGTTTTGGATTCAGAAAAAAGCCATGGTTTAATGAAGGTTAAATAATGAGTATCGTGAAATAAAGGTAGATATTGAATTTAAGTTGCTCAAAGTAAGAAAATCTGGGTAAAAGATAAAGTCAATCAATAACAAGCACTGGCCGTTTGGAAATAAGTGAAACATGACAAGTACTTGAGAAATCCTTGTCAAAAGGAAGAACCACAAACCAACCACCACATTTTTAAACTCACAAATTTTATTTGTTGAGGCAGGGGTACACGTTATTTCAAGATCAAAGATCCAAAAACCTAGATGTTCAATTCAGTCTACAAAGAGAAAAATGGAAACATTGCAATAAAGGTTTGTGAAACTCAATTACATGGAATTGATCGATTAAGAAAACATTAATTATAGCAGTTACCTAAGCGATCAAATCTCTTTTTTTTGAATGTTCCGCTAATATTTGGATAACACTCACAAAATTTTTATAGTTCATACTGGGAAAAAGTTTTGTTTGTATTATCAGTCTATTGACCGTAGTATAGCAGGCCCCTCCTGGATAATGGGACACTAGCAGGACCCTCTTGAAAAATGGGACTAGTAGGACCTTCATAAATTATGGGACATAGTATAGCAGGGCCCTCCTGGATAATAGGACACTAGCAGGACCCTCATAAATATTGAGCTAGCAGGACCCTCATGAATAATCAGACGTAGTATAGAATGGCCCTCCTGGATAATGGGACACTAGCAAGACTCTCATGAATAATGGAACTAACAGGACCCTCCTGAATAATGAGATGTAGTATAGCAGGACCCTCCTGGATAATGGGACACTAACAGGACCCTCCTAAATAATGCGACTAGTAGGACCTTCTGAATAATGGGATGTAGTAAAACAGGACCCTATTGGATAATGGGATACTAGCAGGACCCTCCTGAATAATGGGACTAGTAGGACTCTCCTGAATAATGGGGCGTAGTATAGCAGAACCCTCTTGGACAATAGGACATTAGCTGGACCATTCTGGATATTGGGACTAGACTGACATAATTTAATTTAACTGTATCATTATGAGGAATGAAGTTGCTTGAACCATTCAAAAGTCATCTAAGAATGCATCGCAACAAGATTGAGTCATTCAAAGTTTCGAGTCAAAGCTAAGCACCATCTTTTAGTTTTCTCACAAAACTTTCTTTACAAAAAATTTGTGCAACTACTTTTGTTTGTTTTAATTTCAGGGATCCGCTTGTAGAGCTAGGTCAATCCACATTTCAAGGTAAGGATCTCATCTGAAAAAGAGTCTATCGTCAAGACCATTTTCAATTCAAGTAGCGGGATCTCACCTCAAGAATAAGTTTGATTTCCAATTTTGGGTATTAGAAGCTTACCTGGAGAACAAGTTAGTCTTTCAATCCGTTTGAGATAAAATGAATATTCCACAACTTGAGAAGGCATGAAGACCCAAGTCAAGATTCAAGAGAAGCTACATATATAGGATCTTGTACTATTATTTTCTTTCAATTTTTTGTTTTTTACTTTCATGTAAAACAGGGACCACAAACTGGAGCCTAGATGGGATCTCACCCGACTTCCAACTCATCATTTCATCTCATTAAACTACATGTGACCTGAATCCCTTATAACTCGGGATATGTGGGATGACCATAACCAGGATGCATCACATAATTCTTCCTTTCATGTAAGAGTTCGATCAATACTTGTCACATTGTCTACTTCTTTGTCTGCAAACTCTTCCTGTTTTCAGTCAAAGAGGAGCAAACTGTAGACACATGATTTTTGACTGAACTCAAGATTTTACACCATTTTAATACTTAAATATTATTATTTCAGTAGGTATAGATATTTATAGTAGATAAATAAAAATACTTGAAAATGACATCAAATTATATGCTCTCTTTACATTTTGATTTTAATAAAAGAAGTTTGTGAATTTAATATATTTGTTAATTATTATTTATTTT